ATAATTAGACTACTTTTTGAAAAATAACGCGGTATATCTATTTATTTATCCGCCCGTAAACCTAATTAAACAGCAGTCGATACAGCGGATAATAGTAAAACTACAAACAAATATAAGTCAGTACTGTGGCCTACAGACACCTTATTCTCGATTAATAACCGAAATTCATCAACTTATTAATCCTAACGAATAAATTCGAAACAAAGCAACATTATTACTTTTTCTAGTATCCTATGCGAGTTGCGAGCGTAGCTCTATCATGTATATTCATCATCTAAACTTTCCGGTTGTCTGCAGGGCATGGCTCTAAGCCTGGGCGACAAGATCAACATGATGCAGAAATCGGCACAGAGCAAGCCGCCCGCCAAACCCATACCGGCCGCGTGATCTGGCTCACTCACTCTGTTTTGTTTAGTGTACGTGTACCGCTACAAGCCATTGATGTATGAATTAACCGTTTCTGATAACATCCCGAAAAATTTTCTTAATAAGAGATACATCTTTTACATTTCCTGGAAATTTCAAAAATTTATATAGCAGGTTTAACTACTTCATATTTGTATCTTGGCCTGTTAATAATAATAATTTTACAGATTGGAAATCTAATTTAGTTCTTAATTTACATACTTGTAAAACTGACGTGTTTTGAATATAATAGTTTAATCGCTGTTCATTTCTGTCGTACTTTACAAAACTATTCCATCAATATATTTTGGTAACATGGATTTATAAAAGTAAATTAGTCATATTAAATTTCCAACACGTGCAATGCCATTTGTACGTGCACATTGTGACCATTTATTTTGAGTTACTATAGACCAACGGGTGTATTCATAATCATTTTTAAACAGTTCATTAGTTAAAAAGTGTTTTGTCTCATTCTGACATTTGCGAGATACTTGTTGCTAGAAAGTGACAAAACACTTTTTAACTAATGAACTGTTTAAAAATGATTATGATTACACCCGTAAGTTAATAATGTTAAAGTATTAAATATAATTTGAATATATTTCTTAAAAAGTTATACTTTCGTGTTTTATTTTTCTATTGACCAGTGAGTAGAATTAAATTAATTTGACCTATGGACAAGAGAGGTTGTCACGTTTTTGCCCCGTGAACGCTGTGTTGGACGAATCCACTCCTGTTGGGGTGGCCGATAATGTAAGTATTGCAGGTAGCCTTATGTCCTTCAGACCGAATTTCGATCATGGCGGTCTAGTCCGAACGGGGATAATTTACGTGGTAGAGCCACGCTGCAGCTATATTATAATAATAATAATTCATTTATTTCGGACAAAAAAAAATCCATAGTTGTTAGTAAATGTTTTCTTATATCTAGTGTTAGTAACATATTGTTGACGACACGAGTATGAAACTGCACCGATGGTGGCAATGAGGCAGTGTACAAGGCAGCCTGTAGGCGTATTCAGCGAGCCAACACCGGCGAGTGCCAGCGGTCAGGCAGCGGCCGCAGGATGGTGTTGGGGCGCCGCGCACGCGCCCATGTAGCGACGCACAGCCTGCGCAGGCTTGCAGCGAACCGTCCGCGTGAGCTTCCGCACGTGGCGGACGCGCTGCAGCAGCGCGGCAGACCCCTCAGCACCCTCAACGCGTTATTATGTTGTATGCGCAGGTCGCTGTATGCCCTCTGCGTATAGTCTACCCACAGACTGCACGTGTAAAAGGACTGACAATAAACTTTAAAAAGCGTAACTTTAACTTGACTAGAACATCGTGCAAATCTGCGAGCCAACATGTTGCAACGGACAGACAGCGCCCTTCTCCTCTTTCAATATCTAAGTTGTCTTTTTGATCCTCCGTGACCCAGTGGCCCAAATACTTAAAACACTCCACCTTCTTTAAAGGAGTACCCCCTAACGTAAAATTCAGTATATTAGTTTAACGCTCATTATCCGGTCAAAATATCATAAATTCACTCTTTATTGCATTGTATTTAAGCCCCTGGGCCGCTATATAGGATTCACATATATTAATCATTTTCTTTAAAGCACTACTCGATGGGCTCAGCAACACCATATCATCTACGTAGCTGATATTGTTGACACAGACTCCGTCTATATGACAACCAATACCAGTACTGCTGAGCTCATCCATCAACTCGTTCATGTAAAGGTTGAAAAGCGTTGGAGAGCTTAGTCCCCCCTGCCTCACACCGCAATCCAACCTATACTCCTCGGAAAGCGAGCCTACCCATCGTACATTATTTTTTTGATTATTATACTAGTACTTAAAAAACGATACAATTTCTCGAGATAAGTCAGTCTCAAAATTCATTTTATTCCACAGGATCTCATAGGATATGAACATTATTATGGTTGTAACACGAATCTGTCAGTTCAACCGGGGTAGGACCACGCTCTCACAGAATACCAGCGTGAAATAGTAGCACGATGCTGCTGTGTTACGTATGGTGAGTGTAAAGAACCGGAAATCATTTTTACTGGAAACGAGGCATTCTATCTTAGTCCTCAGGGGTGACAACGCATCTACATTTTGATTCGAATTTGAGGATAAATGTAGATGTCTAAGGACCACAGTATCCACTTACCATCAACACTATGTGCTTGTTTACAACTATGATATAGCTACAACATGGCCCTACTCGTATGTAACACGTGGTTTTGGACCGTGTTTGCTGCCAGCAAGCAGCCCTATATTCAGCAACCGAAATCCGATTAGCCGTAATAATTGTACTTATAATTCATGTAACGCTGCTGTAGAATATATATATATAATCTTATATAATCTTTTAGGTCTATAGATTTAGGTACCTCACAGCCTCTGAACATGCTGTCTCTTTTATAACCTTCTTACCCATTTCCGCTGGTTGGCGACAGAAATAGCTAAGAGGGTGTTACCTATCCAGACGGATTCCCATGTCTAAGGGCTCATGCCCACGACCAATAATGAAGCCAATCACACGATGCCGGCGCTAGCGCCGTCTCAACGCGCAAATGGTAACGCCGGCGTCATGTGGTTGGCTTCATAGTGTCCCATACAATACTGACGACCGGATGTAGACCCGGTTTGTCGCCGGGCTTGGCTCCGGCGAAAAACCGTCTCGTAGGCATGAGCCCTAAAAAGAGTCCTAACACCTTGTAAAGTAATAATGTCCTCCAGACCGAATTTTCGTCACGGCGGCCATCCTCAACGGAGACTCCCCATACCCACACTAGGCCTATGGGACGGTAAACCGACACGACCGGAGAGAGATCAGGCGCAGGAGCAACTTTACGTGCTTTCCGAGGCATGGGGGTGAGACACCGCCAACTTACTAACTCCGGGCATCTACTGAAAATTTCTTGGCGGAAAAATTTTAAGAACTGATTTTTGGCCCAACCCGGGCAATCAGAGAGAGAGAGAGAGAGAGTAGGTTTGTAAAGTAATGATTTACTGGCTCTCTATTCCCTTTGCGTGGCGGTGTAAGAATATCCACTACGATATCGTCCCGTGGCTGTCGTAAGAGGCGATAGAGGGAAACTGAAACAGGAGATAGCCAGCAGCGTCTTTCTAATAACAACTAGAAAACAAAAAAATGCGGTTGCCAAGCGCGGCAACTATGGCAAAATCCCTCTATGGTGCAAACTATGTTGGAAGGCCAATGTTCAGAAGTGCAGTATGCTGTAATGAATGTGGGTAGAAAAATAAAAGTCAATAGGTTTTTATGAAATAAATTAGTTTATTGCGACGTCATAGATGTTCGCGACGTGATTGCGCATGTAAACGTTTACTCCGTAACGAATGACCCAACAGTATAAATAATAAAAATAATTTATAGTAGCAATAAGTTAATGGATTGGTTACAAAACAGTACAGTCCGACGCGTGCGATCCGTGTCGGCGGTCTAACCCTGGTCGCGTGTGGTGGCCTTGCCCTGAAATAATAAAAACATGTTTATTAATAGGAGTTTTGTAATATTTTTATAGAATTAAAGTGACTACTGCCAAGTGGCTACTGCTGTTCATGGACATTTACAGCAAAGTTCAAACAAAGATGGCTACTGGTGCATTATCACCTCTAATAAATGCATTATCTCCTAGAGAACTAACAAGGAATGCCTCACAGCCTGCAATTTTTAACAGTGGTAGAGCCACGCGGCAGCTTTTGCTGTCGCACGGATGGGCCGGCTCGAACCGGGGTGGTACCACGACCTGACAGAAAACCAGCGTGAAGTAGAGGTTTACCTCTGCGTTTTGCTTTGTGAGTGCAGGTGGCCGGAGGCCCTTTTTACTGGAAATGAGGCATTCCATCTTAGTCATCACGGGTGACAACGCATCTACATTTTGATTTGTAATAGAGGATAGATGTAGATGTCTAGGGGCCGCAGCAACCACTTACCATCAGGTGGACTGTGTGCTCGTTTATCACCCTTATCCTATAAAAAAAAAAATAATACTAGGTCTCTATAGCCTTGAAACCGGAACACGGCACAACTGTGCAAGCTCTCTCAAGAAAAGAAGTTGCATCACCTAAAAAAGTGCGTGGGCTGGAGTATTATTACAAGAGATCATTCTTATTTCTGTGAGTGGTGCAATTATACCAACAGTATGATAACTACCCAGAAATTGGGAAATACACTGTTCTTGTTCTAAGATAGCTTGTGCAGAAATGCACACGTAAAACGTTTCGAGAACCAATGATTGGCTTATTTAAAAAACTATAAAGTCCTCAAGACCGAATCTCTAGACGGTCAGTTACAACGGAGACTAGTCATCCGCTCAATACACGATTATAGTGCACGAGTGTATGCGCAAGCACAGGTGCACTCTCTATTCCCTCACTCGCATAGTCCGATGGGACGGCAATTCGACATGACCGTGGGAGATCAGGTGCAGGACCAAAGGCTTTAGGTGCTTCCCGAGGCACGGGGGTGAAACACTGACCTACCTGACTTCGGACTGCTTAGCAACTGCGTTATCGTGTCATTTTGAGAATTGCTCCTTATTACTAACTACTTATTATATACTTATATAACTTACTTATTCCTCCTCCTCTTCCTCCTCTTCCTCTTCCTCTTCTTCCTCCTCCTCCTCTTCCTCCTCAACAACTTCCTCTTCCTCCTCTTCAGGCTCAGGTTCGTAGTGAGGCTCTTCGTCCTCTGGTTCTGCCTTTTGATCCTCCTCGCCCTCAGGAGACTCGGGCTCGCCCTTCTTTTTGCCGGGCCTTTCGCCGAACCACTTGGGCAGTCTCGCTGTTGCATGAGTTTAAACGTTTATAATATTTGTTATGGTGTTTATGCTCCGAAGAACATTTGAAAAAATGTTAAGAAATTTAAAAAAATGCCCACTTTATAATGAGTGAACTGTTATTTCACGCTATTATTCTGTGTGAGCATGGTCCTTTCCCGGTAGAGACGACCTATTCGTGCTGCAACTATATTATAGCTGCAGCGGGATTCTACCGGATTTAAATTTATCCCCCGTCCTTTTCTTAGGTTAATATGCTACAATATTTGAATTGCAGTTGAGTTCGGAACCAATTTATAAATTCACTAAGTGTATAATTAGCTAAAATTACAGTCTTAATCACTAGTTTCAAAAGAAGCAGTTACAAAACTAAAAATGGCGGAAGTGCATAACAAAAACTATGATGTGAATGTAACAAAAACTATTAGATCTAAAAGGACTACGAAGTGAATGCGGGTGGGACTTATACGATTTGAAAAGATTTTATACAATGGAGGGAAGATGGACAAATTTTTTATGTATACATATATACAACGATAGAGTCGCTTTGCTGTGACAGTCTTGACCTGTTACTTACCCTTTTGCCTGCCGCCGAACTGCTCGGCCCTTTCTTGCCAGATCTTGTCAAGGAAGTCCTTGTTCAGTTTCTCTAGGTCCTAGGAGCACGGTTAATACAAGGGTCATTACAATGCTGGGTGTTTAACATAAACAGGACGGTATAGGTGCTGATGGATGCTTACAGCAATGCCAAATTAACTAGCAAAACTTTATAGAATGCCATAATTTTATTACAACGATCACCGAAGAAAATGAATTGGTTATAATTTCAATTGGGGAGACAACATTTTGCGCATCGCATAATTTGGATTTGCTACTTTGCGTAGCGTCTGAAATTGTTTTCTGTTTAAATTTAAATTATATTTTGCTTGAAATACACAAACAAAATGTTTATTTGATTACTTACAAGAAACTATGACGTCATTTACATTATATGTTATTACGTGTATTGACAGAATATATTTTAAATTACTTGAGTATCTTGATTTGAGGCTAATAAGGTAACCATAGGTAAGGTAACCAAAATAACTTAAAATTGCTTATTTTCTTTTGTAGTAATTAAGAACAATTTAGATAGAAATAGACTGTTTGCGTAATCTAATAATGGAAAGTTGACGAAAGATCGATCGATCGGTCGATAGTAAAATTATTTTAGGCAAGATGTAGGTAAATATTATTTCTTTATTTTAATTTTTGTTGTTACACCTTAATTAATAGGGTAACAAAGGGCGGACTTAATGCCTGTCGGCATTCTTTGCTAGTCAACCTGTATTATATATTTTATTATACGTGTAAATTAAAGAGAAGAACATTAAGGTTCTCATAAAAATTATTTTGTCGTAGTTGATTGGGCATTGTTTCACAACTTTATATATATATATTACTACCACAAAACATGTAGGTGGCATATGGCAGGTCTCAAGACACGAATGACATGAAAACCATGCCGAGTTCATGCGTCGCTTTAGGGAGAACCACGCTCCGGTCACACAACATCGTTCCCCCCACATTGTCTCTTACTTTTATTTCGGTTCATCCACTGATCCATCCTCTCCTTCCAAGATTTATCCAATACCTCTGCAACTATTATACTGTATCCCTGCGTTTAAATAGTTTGATATAAAGTCGCCATTTATATAACAAAAGCATCTAGCCTACGTGTCGTCTTGACCATGCGATTTCTTTAAATTTTAAGAGGCAACAAATCAAGAAAAGGATCTGTCATGCAAATCTTTTTCTTTATTCTTAATAACTGCCGGGCAATTAAAAACAATTTCACAGTTGTTAATCGCATATCTAAAGGTACGTCACCTATCTTCTCCATTAAGGCCTTTTTCTTCATCTTTATGAGCCAGTCAAAAGTCTGCTGGACCTGGGTCTCTCCCGTTTTAAGGAGGACATTTACACCCCCATTCGTTAGGCCATTAATCACAACATATCAGATTGCCTTTAGCTTGCCTCATAATGGGAATATTTGCCATAGTTGCCATGCTTGACGGGCGGGTGTTGGCGACCGCAGTTTTTTATTTTCTAGTTATATTTATATCTTCTTTTATAGTATAGGGTGACAAACGAGTACACAGTCCACCTGATGGTAAGTGGTTGCTGTGACCCATAGACATCTACATTTATCGTCAATAAAGAATCAAAATGTAGATGCGTCGTCATCCGTGAGGATTAAGATGGAATACCTCTTTTCCAGTAAAATGGGTCTCCGGTTCTCTATATTACCATACGAATACGAAACACATCAGTGTTAAGCTGCTATTTTACGTTGGTATTCTGTGAGAGCGTGGTCCTTCCCCGGTCAAGCAGATCCATTCGTGCTACAACTATACTACTAATATAGCTGCAGCATGGCTCTATTTGATTATATTATTTGCCGATTTTTATTATGTTGGTGTCGTATGTCTTCTATTGGAAATTCTAGAAAAATCTGAGACATCCCATGGATGGCGTATAGCGGATGGCATGCTGACCATAATTTAAATTCGGACCTATCGTTGATCAGGAAACTTGAAGATATAGAATAAAGTATTCTGTGATTAATACTTAAAACTGCTTTTAAATATGTTGTCTTGGGTACAGATGCGTTCCGATTGGAGACCCCGGCACCCCTCGTATATGATGAAGGTGACCACCGTAGGATTTTAGCCGGTAAAAATATAGCAAGACCCTTCCATATCTATGACGATTTCTCCACTAATGTCTTTTATACTTACACCCTCGAATAATTTCTTTTTGTCGTCATAGGACCGTGTGTCAACGCGTCGTTCATATTTGGACGCAACCTGGATTTTGGGCTGAAAGGAAAAAAATCTCGTTATTTTAAAATAAGAACATTCTGTTAAGTTATATTTAATTGTTTTTTTTTTTTTAAATCTTACCGGGTGCTTGCCTGTAAGTGCCTCGGGATCGAGACCCTTCTTTAGAGCCTTGTGCCTCAACTGTTGCTTCTGTCTTTCTTTGAGCTCTTTTAACTGTAGAGGAAATTGCATATTAACATCTAATATCAAATCAAATTAAACCTACTTTTTATAATAATACATACGTCGTAGTCCTGTCTCTTCTGCCTCTCCTCGAGATCGTATTTCTCAGTTTCGAGTTTAACTATGCACTCCCAGAGCTCGGTGGCCTTCTGTCTAAGCTTTTCTACGGATAGACCTTCGATATTCAGTGGCTTGATGCGGATGGAGAGTGAGATCTTCTTCTCTTCCTCCAATTGCTCCCTGGTCTTGTTGCGTTCTAGTTGAGCGCTGGTCAGGCCGAACTAAAATGTTAATTTTTATGAGTACAAATTATTTCTGATTATGTAATTTAGAGAACTTATTTCGTTCATTTATTTGTTATACTAATTAAATTCTTACGGCCTCGCTCTTCTTTTGGATGGTGAAGTTGGGGCCGACTTTCGTAGAGTCCTTCATAGCTTGCAACATAGCCTGGCGTTTCTTTTCAGCCTCTTCAAGTCGCTGCCTCTTCTCTTCGATGTCACGCTGTTTCTTCTCTTCAATCTCGCGTTGTCTCCGCTCTTCTTCTTCCTTCTTCTTTTGAGCGAGGCGCTTTTCTTCTTCAGCCCGTGAAACCTGAATATAAATCAAGTAATTAGCTTCGTTAACTTTTAGAATAGTCATATTTTGCCCATTTGGACAATAATCACCTTGCGTTTAGCCTGCTTCTCTTTGAGGCGTTTCAGCTCCTCCTCCTCCTTGGCTCGCTGTTTGCGCCATTCGTTGATGTAGTCCTTCAACTGTTCGTCTAAGTCCGACCGCTTCTGGTCTTGACGCTATTAAGAAAAAATAAAAATTGACGGTAAAGCACCTTCTTTACAGAATTTAACTTAAAATGACAAATGAATAAAACGTGTCACTATTTATCTATACTTAATATTACGTCTCCTGATTGTTAAATATAACTAATTAAATTACACATATTCTTTACTGTATAAGGATATGAATGCTAAATGTAACGAAAAAATATGCTTTACCTTGATGAATTCTGGATCTCCCTCACCCCTGCGAAACAAAATCTAAAATAAATTCATGAACAGTGAGAATTTGATTGTTAAATGTTAGAAAACCGACGTTACGCCGACAGACAATACAAATACAGCATCTGTTACAATGATTATTAATTCAAAATTAAAAGGTACCTCCTTTCGTTAAGCTGTAATTAACGTTTGTCTGTTTTGTTTCGTTAAAAATATAGCTTTTATTTAACATTGTATTACGACAGCACATGGATACAGTTAACACATATTTTACTCTGTTATAGCAACGAACGCAACGAAAGGATTATATTATTTTACACATAACATAAATATCTCCTAAGTGACATCACTAAATTATCGTATAATATTAGACAAATTTCCACTAAAGCGCTTACAACCAGCTTATCGTAAGTTACCAGTGTTTTATATTTTTTTTAACATATATCACAACGCTACATACATACGGAGAGGACATGGTGTACAATCAATATTTTCTAAATTATTGTATTACGGGACATTCATGCTTTAATATCATGCTATTCCTGTCATGCAATTATTCACGTACAGGACCGGGAAAACTCGACTGGTTTCCCGTTGACCGACATTTTGTTTCTTTGCAAACGGCGCGGGCGCAGCGTACAATTTCAAAAATAGAACGCCTACCGACTGTTAAAAATAGCGAACGGCGTCGTCGGTTAATTCGTTCGCCGAACGATCTGAGCGAATGCGATTAATCTAGAATTTTGGGTACACAAGTCGCATGCGCCCGGGCCTTGTTTAGTTAATGTAGTTTAATAGTTAGTGACACCACAGAGAGCGGTGCAACTTACGCGATCGACGGTCTACTCCTAGAAACAGAAAATTACAATCAGCCTCTACTATAAACTACTTCTATTTGTAGCTAACAATCTACCATCGAGTTTAAATCAATAATACAAACATACAATCATTGTAATATGAATGACGTTTAGGTTGCCTTGAAAACCCTCTTTTAATTATAGCATTTATTTGTGTGCCTTATAAACTAAAATTGTGGGTTTAAATTTTAATAAATATTAAATTAAATATCTTTTCATAAGAATTATTTAATAATTGTACATTTGTTTCATCAATATAATGGCGATTGTAGATACATGGCTACATACTTATATCCTAAAATTCCTTGATAGTAAAGAAGTAAGCAGTGAGAGCGATTATTTTGCGCATACGCATCATAAAAGAGCGTTATAAGCATTCGTGACGAGATATTCAAATTTGGAATTGTCAAAACGGCTCATTCGGCCAGTGCATGTGAGATTAATTTTATTGCCAATAACAACATCCTATAAATATACTAAAAGCAAAGCGTCTAAACTCTAAACAGTAAAATTGCAACTATCAGTTACACTTACTCTGGTTTAGGAGCGGGCCTTCACGTAGACACGGTGACAGCAGCAGAAGAATAAAAAAGAAAAAAAAACAGATTAGACATAAAATTCCTTAGAATAAAAAATAAAATACTTTTACATAAAGCACATGTTTGTTAATGCAAACGAGAAATAGATACAAACTTAGAAGAAAAAAAAACCACTCCACAGAAAGCGGCTTACTTTCTCTTTTCTTTGTCTACATGGTCAGTTGGTGATCCATTAGATAGAACCACTATTGATACAGGTCGTATTGTATCATACAGGTATTGGTTTTAAGCGTGTATTGAGTGCGGTCGAGCTCCTACCGTATGTTGTGAGTCGGTAAGCAACAGAAGCGACGACTTAGGCACTAAAAGCGTTAGATACGGCGTCTAAACTTAGCCTAAATGAGCGAAGTGAATGCTAATGCTGGATCAACCAAAAGGGCACGCCACTTACTTCCTGCAACAAAAGAGAGAAGAGGGGTCGGTGAGGACGTGCAACAGTTCTAAGGCGTGTAGTTACAAAGTATGAGGGTAGCGGGCAGCTGTCCCCCACACCATCGGGAACTAAGTCTGAGGTGTTTCGCTGATCACTAATAGATTTATAAAACAATAGATGATAGACTAGCCAAGGCAGAGTACCAGGCCCAGATAAGCTAGAGTAATCAAAAAAAAACAAACCAATAGGTGCCTCTAGAGTACTAGTTCGTTTAAAAAGAAAAATATGATGCCAGTGCTAGGTTTTGTAAACACTTACGTCTCCGGAACTTCTTCTTCAACTTCCTCCTCCTCGGAGCCACTGCGGATAAAATTTTAATATGTTTAGGCATATATAGCATGAATAATATAAACACAAGGTAGTAAAAAAAGTTTTTTTTTTCTAGAATAAGGGCGACAAACGAGCACATATTTTACCTAATGGTAAATGAATGCTGTGGCCCATAGACATCTACATTTATCGATCAAGAACCAAAATTCAAATGCGTTGTCACCCCTGAGGACTGAGATGGAATACCTCTTTTCTATTGAAAAGGGTCTCTGTTGCTCTACACTCACCATACGAAACACAGCAGCATAAACCTAGTATTTTATGAGAGCGTGGTCCTGTCCAGGTTGACTCATTCGTGCTACAACCATAATATAGCTGCAGCGTGGCTCTACCACGTGTCCAATAAAGTGAGTACCCGTCCCGTACGTCTTTTTTTATAGTATAATGGTGACAAACGACCACACTTTCCACCTGATGGTAAGTGGTTGCTGTGGCCCATAGACATCTACATCTATCTTCGATTACGAATCAAAATGCAAATACGTTGTCACCCGTGAGGACTAAGATGGAATGCCTCGTTTCCAGTAAAAAGGGTCTCCGGTTCTCTACACTCACCATACGAAACACAGCAGCTTTAAGTTGCTATTTTACGCTGGTATTCTGTGAGAGCGTGGTGCTTCCCTGGTCGAGCCGACCCATTCGTGCTACAACTATACTATTAATAAAGCAGCAGCATGGCTCTACCACGTAGACTCTTTAAGTTTACTGATGTACATGAGCGTCTTCGATTGTTGAGACGGTTTGCCTAAATCGTTACGACTGGCGATCGCAGTACCAACAGTTTCGCACCCTTGAGGCTGCTTCTCGTCACCGTTCTGAGTATTTTACCAGGCCTAAGCGACCGCAATCTATCGGAGCCGATGGATCTCTATGGCATAACCCCTAGTCGCTTCTTACGACACTCTCGGGACGAAACAGGGTGATGTGAATCATACTCCATCACCACACGGCACACAGTATAAATTATAATATAGAAACACTGATAACAAACTAGATACTAAAAGTACAAGTACATAGGTAACATAACCTTAAACAGCGATCTCTTCCAGGCAAACTTTTGATGAAGATTATTTTATTTCAAACTTATAAGATGTAAGCATAAAAATACATCCATCTATTAATAACCTTCAGTCGACTTCAAACGAGTGAAATTACGAGTATCACTTTTTATCGTATTAGTCGTCCGAATTTGAACTATATTCAAAATTACTAAATTAAACCCAGAACGACAGACAGACAGACAAAAAAGAAATTATTTATCCTTTTTAATTATTTGAAGTCGGCTTTTACTTTTTATTAAAGTTAATATTTATCGAAAACAATTCGATATGGCGTAGGAGAGATCTATGTAAGATTCCATCGTCCACTATGTATGGTGAAGGTTAATTTGAAAGGTCAGAAAATGAAAAGAGTAATCGTTGCCTCATCTCATTCTGTGGGTGTCCTAAAAGACGACTTGGGAAACATCTAGAAGCTCTTGTCGCTTCCAACTGATGGCGATATGATGATCTTGGCTATACCGGATAGTGGACTGTTATTAATCAAAGTACAAATTATAACCGCTGTAGTTTTGAGCTTCGGAAAAGTTAAGAGCAAAATGTTATAGGATCTGATACTTACGAATATTCTTCCTCGTCAGACATATTGGTAGTTTATTTAGTCTGTGAAATAAAAAAAAATATTGGTTATTGCTCAAGCTTGTTCTAGTATCGAAAATTTGAAATCTCTGTCTTAATTAGATACTATTTCAGTCTTGGCTTGCGTAGTTACCTAATTATGCAAGACATTGTTTGCGTTAAACTCCATCAAGTAGTGAGGAGTTGGCGCCAAGTCAGAACGTTTATTATCGTTGTAGATAAATTTGTAATAATTGCCAACGTTTGGTATTAAATTTCGTTAGATAGGTCTAGTATTCTGGGCTATAATATACATAATATTTAATTTACACTTGCGATAATTATCACTTAGTGAAACTTAAGCTTAATTTTTGAGATTTTAATACCATATATATATTTAAATTATTAATTTAATAGCTTTAAGAACCGCCTGATTTCGCCTCCTGGCATAAGAATAACGAACATGTATAAAGAATTCCGTTCGCCTCACGGCATTATCAGGATAAGAATAACGAACATGTACAAACAATTCATTTATTACGAGTTTCTTTGTTTATGTTTGAGTATTCAAATCACAAAAAATTTACATATTTAACCCACTTTGGAGTTATTTTATTAGACAATTCAAATCGAAGCAATCACTTAACAATCCCATTAAAATATTTCTGTTTTAGTTCTCATTTCAATTACTCTTAAAACAACTTAGAGTCATAAGAAATCTTAACTGAAAAGAACAATATTGAGGTAGGTTTCCACCAATGTGGTGAAATGTGTTGAAATGTGTGTTCATATAAATGAGGACTCGAGCAGAACTCACAATAGGTACCTACTACTTTGTAAGAAATCAGATCGGTGGATTTATATACAAGTAAGATTGACATTTATTCATTTAATATCTGATACCCGCGATTTCGCGTTGATTACACATATCACTGAACGCGTAGTGCTTATAAAAATCGTTGTTTCTTAAAACTTTAATAACCTTATATTAAATGAAGGTATCGCAATATTTTTTTATATACAAGTGTCTAAGAAATAAAACTTAGAAAACCTAATTGAAATCTATCCAGTAGTTTTTCAGTGATACGTGCACAACTGCAAACCTCTATCATTTTATTTATATAGATAATACAGCCTATCAAAAGTCCATAGCTGAACATAGATTGCCTGATAGATATATATTCATTTTACCACAGTTGTTGCCTTTGGCATTTAGTTGGATTGACAAACGCAGTTTTTTTTTATTATTTTCAGTTGTTATCAGAAAGATGTTGGTGCCCATTTCTGTTTCAGTTTCCCTTTGTCGCCTCTTACGACACCCACGAAATAATATGGGGTAGATTTTTTTTATAGGGTAGGGTGACAAACGAGCACACAGTCCACCTGATGGTAAGTGGTTGCTGTGGCCCATAGACATCTAAATCTATCCTCGTTTGCGAATCAAAATGCAGATGCGTTGTCACCCGTGACTAAGATGGAATGCCTCGTTTCCAGTAAAATGGGTCTCCGGATCTCTACACTCACCATACAGTGTTAAGCTGCTATTTTACGCTGGTATTCTACTAATATAGCTGCAGCATGGCTCTACCACGACATATTCTGTTACGCGGCCAATACACGGCATGGTGAGATTGACAAACGAGAAAGTAGTTTACTTTATCTTAAGTCGATGTTGTGGCTTTTAGACCCATCATTAGTTCATCTATCCCCAATACTCTCCATATAGGACAAATTGCAGAAGCGTTATTACTTCTGGAATACCTCGTTACCTGTAAAATAGGTAACCGTTTCACGTAACTGACCACAGGAGAATTATGCTGCAATTTTACGCTGGTTTTCGTGACAGCATCGTCCTTCTCTGGTCGAGCCGACCCATTTTAGCAACAATGTGCATATATTATGCATCCTGACTCTACTGATGACTACAGATGGCTCAACTGACTGGCTAACTATGGAGCGGTGATTGTATAATTAAATTCGTAACATTGTCATCCAATATGTGACTTTCGAGTCAACTAAAAGTCGTGATTATATTCTCTTTGGAGTCAACTATAAGAGATGTCAAAAAAATTACGTACTTTCTAACATTTTAATGGTTTTTAAAAACGGTAACGTAAAAATTCGTACTAGTAAATACCAAGTAGTGTCTAATTGCTGATTGCTTGGGAATTAAGCTGTACTTAATGACTAGAGAAAATATGCAAAATTCTACTCATTTTTTACCTAATTGCCTTAAATAAGGGTTATGTTTTTTCAATAGTATATAATATGTATGTTTGTTTGCGATCCTGCCTGTAGTTTAAAGGTTAGATGAATTTTATTGTACAAGATATCTTTAGTAGTTTTCATTTTCTGCATTTTGCAGACTACATCTTATGGCAACAAAACTGATAAGATATTGGAATTAAATTATAGTTTGTGTGCAATCGAGTTTATTTAATATTTTAGTTGATGTATATGCGTATATAATACCTTTATGTTATTAATTACATTCGACAAAGTAAAAATTCAATCAGTCAATCATGTAATTTGTTTATAAAATCTATACTAAGTAATTATAAAGCTGAAGAGTTTCTGAGTTCGTCCGAGCCAATTTCACTCCGATTTCAAAAAATATTTTGCGATAGATAGTATATGAACAGGGATGTATCTAAGCAACATCTTCTCTGTGTTATGTGGGAACGTATGATCCAAATATAAAATGAGTAAAACTGCGGGGCACAGCTAGTAACTTATCACAAAAATGTCCACCTAAATTTTACAGGCTGATGGTCATTGCCAATGCAAGGGTATCAGTTCTGCACTCACCAACGAGCCTGCTTACCGTAGTGAATATTAAATGATTATAAAATTTCATTTGAGGCATTCTGGGAAGGTCAGTATCCAACGATTGACTAAAAAGTTTGTTGATGATGATTCGTGAAGATATAGACGATAATATGATCAGTAGCAGATGATACTAAAAATTCTAATAATTTATAAATCAACCAATATGTCGATAAAACAGACATGTGTTACCTAATAAACACGGTTACGTGCCAGTAGGTGAAAAAAAAAATAGAGCGGTTGGGGATAAGGCGCGAAACGAGCGTATTGTTTACGAAGTCCGATTTATTTTTAGCGGTTTTATCTTTCCTACCATCGCGCACACCTACGGTCGGCGCGCTGGCAACCGTTCAAGCGGAGTGTAAAATTGGATTTCGGCACGAGTGCAATGTTGCCCTGGTGGCGGAATGCTTTGAGCTTAATCCTTTTTTTAAATGTCTTCCACATGTACGTAAGCAATTTATTATGAACTACATAGTTTAATGCATTTGCGATGTGTAATTTAAAAAAAAAAAAGTATAAACGCTTCATAAATAAATCGATTAAACACAATAGATGCATAAAATAATTTTATAAATACAATTAAGATTATTAATTTTACCACTGGTTCGCAAAAAAACCTTAAACATTAAAATATAAGACTAAAAAGGACTCTTGATTTGTGGCATAGTGGAGTAATGGACTGTTTATGTGTTTGTGTCTCTGATATTGTCACAGAATAAATAACAGATACTGTATCCTAGCTAGGCTTGTAACCGACCCGTGAAAGCCGGGACGTCCTATTTCTAGAGCATTAGCAAATGCGTCCCATGTGAGCGGGACGCGAATTTTCCCGCTTCATTGTATACTACTAAATTTCGCACAGGAGTATTTAGAGGTTTTGAGTTTTGTTTTACATATTCTTGAATGAGAAAAAAAAACAAAAATGCAAAATCACAATTCAGAAGAAGTGGGTAATACTTTGTTTCTAAAATCAAAAAGGTATTCGTACAAATACATTTTCGTTAATGTTTAAAATGTTTTAAAAACCTATTTAATAAAATTTCAAATTATTTATTGGTGTATAAAGTGACGGAAAACTATATAATTATTGCTATATTTTGCCTCATTGTTGTAAACCTATGGTAAGTATTTTGTATGACAAAACAAAATCGCCATTCCATTATTTTACACCTGGTCCCGTTTCATTTAGCCACGTTTCGCATTCTGATTGCTATTTCTCCGTAAATCCACGGACAAGTCCAGGAACAATGACAAGTCTAGTAGTCTTAGTCTGCCGATCTTAGCGTATATTGTGTTACTTCGGTAGGTAAGGACGAGTGTCTCCGTGTTTGTAGTGCATGTGCACTTGGGGCGGTGGCACTTTAATATGTTCTGTGCCGGTGATGGCTTCCGATTATTCAGAAGGTCTCACCGTGCCTCGAAAAATGACTTCAAAAACATCATGTTTATATTGATTTATTGTGATTGTTGCTGTAGCACCTTTGGCTTTTCCAACTTCACTTGCCACTTTGTTCAAAAGTTCTATTTCATCGAATATAAATTGAGTATTTTAAATGTTATCGGATATGTGACGTTATTAGAATCAGCATAAGGTTTATTTCATATCTACGAATTCGGTGACATTTACGATTTGACAGTTGTAATTTAGTGTTACCTTACCCTAATTGCTAAGTATCGTGATTTTTCATGAGTTAGTGGGTTATTTTAGTTTTTTTTTGTTAAAAATTACAGAGCAAGGTACGTGTTTAATATGATCCCATCAAGTCTCTCACTTAATTCACTCACTGGACTATAAATAGTAGATAACCTATACATTTATAAGTAACAAAATTTAAAAAATTAATTTAAAACAAATTTTTAACATTTTACATATGGACCGCAAATTTTTCAAATGGATCAAATTTTTAACTCCTAGAAAGCAAGTGTTTAGAAAAAATCCGTAATTTTGTATCGACATTATCAAGCAGGTATCAAAATAATATCAACATCCAGAAGGTTATGTGAAATTTTATGATATTAATAAAGACAGTTTCACATTTTAAAAATCATTGCTTTTTAATTGTAGAGAATAAATTCCTAAACTTTTGTTGATTGATATAGCGGTGCTACTTTTTTTTTATTATTATATCATTACATAAAATGTGCATTTCGTCAAAATGTAAGTAAAATAGGTGTACTAGTATAAGTTCTTGCATAAT